TCGGGAACCTCCATTTTTAGGAGATTGATACTATGAGAAATGCCAAGAGCCATGCGGTATGTCCAAAGAACACTCCCAGCTCAAGGCTCACTCACTCCAGATCTCCTTGATGCCATCCTTCAACTTCTGGATCCGCCTAGGTTGGATGGATTCGGGCTAGGGGGGCCCGCAAACATGGCCAAGGGCTTTAAGGGTTCCGATGATATGATTTGGCTGGGTCTGTTCAAATGATTGGCAAACACCAAGATCACTCCCCTAACTGTTATTTCCCTGAGGGAAGCATCCGAAGTTCCCTTGTGCGAGAAAATCTGATATTTCCTTGGCTTTCCCTCTGGTTTCTTCTTTTCTCGGTTTTCGTTTTGGGGGGGTTGTGGGCGTTGCAGGCGCAACGCTCAGCCGCTCAGCTGGAAGCTGAGCGCCACACGCGGTCTCAAGGGAGGAGATCCGTGTGGCCTTGCGAAGGCATCCCCATTTCCTGTCTCTGAGAGTGAGTGCCATACATGATTTCCTCTTGTTAAACAGGGAAGCATTGGGAAATAAACACAACCTGGGCCAGGGTGGGAGGGAATCTTGAACAAGCGGTAGACACAGCCAGCTGGTCAGAAGCTCGATTTGCAACTAGTGCGTGCTGAGCGAATATTTTTAGATTAGAGAGTGATATTGCTGGCACATATGGCATATAACTTTGCATGACCCGATGTGAGTGCAGAGGATACACTTCACTGCGCGTAGGTGGGAAACAAATCAAGTCTCTGGGCGAGCCAGTCGAAGGCAGGGATTACCATTCCCCCTTTTGAACGATATATAGTGACCACTAGGTTCCTCTTAGGGTTCCTTCAACGAGAGTTTCTACACAAGGGCTCCAATTTTAGTTTCACCAGAAAGAAATGCCCTTTGCTGGACTTTGAACTTCATGAGCCACAATAAAACCTGGTATTTCATGGGGTCAAGCCAAAAGCCTATCATAAAGAAACTACAGAGCGCCAGTTTCTATTTCTGGTTGGGACTGTCTCTCGCCAACCTTCACATAGTCAGCTGTACCTGATCACCAGGCCACCCTGCCTCGCAAAGAGCTCGTAGTACCTGGCCCTTGTCGAGCTCTCCCCGCCGTTCCTCAAGCGCTGCTAGCCCACGATTTCTTTCAACCCCTGTAGAGAGGCAATTATCTTTGCTGCCCGAAGATTCCTTGGCATATACCCAAATTGAGGGAACCCTAATGAACCCTAGGCGTTTTGAAACAACGGCTTCACCAAGGCTCTGACGTGAGAACCGGGTAATGTCCACGTAGGATTAACAAATGCACCTGTAATAAAGACAAATGGGGGGCCCAAAATAATTAATAAATGCACCTAGAATAAAGACAAGCCCCTGCCCCCCCCGCCCATGAAAAAAAATGTCCCCCCAAAAAAAAAGTCACAAAAAAAGTCTCAAAAAGAAGAGAGAAAGAGAGAAAGGATAGGAAGGAGAGGAGAGATAGCCACCCCTTGTCCTTGGATCTTTGGCACCTTGCTCTTGGCACCTGCTTCTTTCCTCACCCAGTAGCTCAAAGCTTTCTCTGGGCAGCATGCTAAGCAGGCTGTGTACCTGCACTTTGAGCACCTGAAAAGTGCAGCTTTGGCTTTCCAAACTGCTTCTCTGGCATCTGGGCTCAAATCTTTGTGGGTGAAATACTGTGAATTCTGCTCAAAAGCTGCCTTTGCTGCTTGAGCTGTCTTGGAGTTCTGATCTTTTGCCTTGGCAAGAATCTCCAAGGCTTTCATTCTTCTTTGCTCCTGCTGCTCTTCAAGCTTCTTTTCCCTTTCTTTTGCTTTGGCCACTTCTGCATGAACTTTCTCAACTTCTAGCTGCAACTGCTTGTACAGTGCTTCCAACCTCTTGTCCCAGCTCTGGGCCAGCACACCTGGCCAGCCTCTGGAAGCTGGGCCTTGCCAGCTCTGCCTCAATGTAAGACAGAACTAGCTGGCCACTTTCTGAGGCTGTTTGCCTGCAGCTGTTGCACCTGGCTGGCACTTCTGGCAACTCTGAGGCAGCTGTGAGAGCTTGCATTGCTATTGCTGCCTTGTGCTTGCAATCTGCATGCTCATCTGCCAAGGTGTCCCTGTAGCAGAACTGCCAGGCTGCATCTGGACTGGACCTGTGGCCAACTAGCAAGGCCCAGTGAGCTGGGCTGCCCAGAACTGGCACAAAAATGTGCACCTTGTTGCTTGCCAGCTGCTGGATCTCTTCTTTCCACCTTTCTTCTTTGGCAATCTTGTAGGCGCACTCTGCATCCACAAGCTGGCAGCTCTCCAAGAACTCATGGCCTGAGAACTGCCATCTGAGCAGGTGCCAGCTCAAAGCCATGTGGCCACCCTCCAGCATGGACATCTTTGGTGGCTCTGGCACAACTGCTTCTGCTTTCACTCCCAGGGCTGGCATGCAACCTGAAAGCTGCAGGAACTCCTGCTTTTTCAACCTGCCAAGCTGTGTGAACTGCTTCCACACAGCTGCCTTCTTCCAGGAACTGTCTTTCAACTGCAAGTGCTGCTGATGGCAACTCATCACACCATAATCTGTGAAGATTGAAGCTTTTCCATCTGTCTGTGCATCTGCAAAACTGCCTTCTTTGCCATACTGCAAGGCACCTGCTTCTTCCTTCACAACTCTCAACTCCTCTCCTTTCTTGACAGGCAACTGCAAGTCCTCAACTGGCTCTGCAGCCTTTGCAGCCTTCTTCTCAACTTCATCTTCTTTCAAGGCTAGCAGCAGAGCTTTGTCCTTGATGGCCTTCTTCTTGCTCTTGGCTAGCTCTTTCTTCACAAGGCTACCTTTCTCCTTCAAACTTGGCTTTGATTTGGATGAAGCTTTGAGGATCAAAGAGGGCTTCAACTTTGCTGAATCTTTGGTCTTCAAAGAAGGCTTTCCCTTTGCCTTGGCCTTTGCTTGTGCAACTGGAATTATGTCTTCCATGGCTTCTCGCTTTGACATCTTTGCCAGCTTGCTCCTGATCTCTGCAAAACTCAACCTTGAAGCAGCTTTCCTTGCAGCTTGCCTGGCAGCTTTCAGCTTTGCCTTGTTGGCTGCCAACTTGACAAGCTCTTGCCAACTATCTTGCTGAGCTTTCCTTCTGATGTGAGCTCTCCTCAAACCTGGGCTCATCCTCAGGAACAAACTGTTCCAAAGTGGAACTTGCAGCTCTGTTGCTATCTCATCTTCATTGGGTATGTCAAGGGTGTCCCCACCTCCATCTGCATCTCCAGCTTCCTCTCCACCTTCATCTGTTTCAGCTGGGTTCTTGTAGCTCCACTCTATCAAGTCAGCTACCTGCGTGGCGCTGGAACTCAGGGCAAAATCTGCAGGCTGTGGAATTCCATCTTTGACCCAGCTGAACCTTGGCTCCAGCCAACTGTTGGGAATTCTCCTTGACCCCTGTGCCAGACCTCTTGCTTTGGCCCAACTTTCACCTAGAAAGGGCACAAGCTTTCCTGCCTCTGGTGAAGCTTTGAAAGCTATGAGGCCATTCCTCACACTCCCACCCACAATCCAATCTGTGTCAACCTGTCTTTGAACTGCTTGTCTCTGAGCTCCAACTGTGGCAAGGATGATCTCTTTGTAGCCAATCTTATACTCTCTGCCATCTTTCTTAGCTGCTAGCCTTTGCTCCTCAAGCTGCTCTCTGAAACTGGCTTTGAAGCTCTTGGCAAAGTCTGTATCTGTCAACTGAAGCTGCTGTGTCATCTTTCCCAGGATCTGAGCACTTGCTTGGCAACCTGTGAACTGCCTTTGCACAACGTGTTCCTGGAAAACTGCACTGAAGCAATCTCTGATCCACAAGCTGCAAATCTCTTCTTCACATTGCTCTTCAACTATCCATGCTAGCAGAACTCCATCGCAGTTGGAACTGGGCTGTGTCATGATCTCCACCTCTTCAAACTCTTTTGGAAACTGCTTCCTCAGCTCAACTGCCCAAGCTAAGCCTCTGCACTTCTCTCCAGCTTGGTGCTCCACCTCCACACCTTTCACTTCAAACTTCTCTGTTCTCTTGTACTTGCCATTCTCATCTACATTGCTCAATCTGTTGTGCTTTCCAGGGAAAACTAACAGTCCAGGAAGCACATGTCCTTGCAGCTCCTCTTTGTTAGCTATGTTGGTCACCCTCTGCCTGGCCTCATAGGTTATGCGAAACTTCTCAGCAGCACTGTCTCCCTTCAAAACTCTGCTGCCAGCAACAACTTTGCCACCTGGCTCACCTCCATCTGCAGCTGTGATTACCTGATGGCCACCTTCTTTCCAAGCTTCCTGTGCAGCTTTCAGCTCCTCCCTGCAAGTGTTGAACTCCCTCCTCACCTCAGCCCCAACTCCTTGTAGATCTTCCTTTGAAAACACAACCTTGGTGGATGGGCTTTTGGCCCACAGGGGAACTTGATCTGACATGCCTATGCACAATCTGTGCCGGTTTGATATCACCTGGTCCACATCTGAAACTATTTGAGCTGACTCTAGCTCTTCTTTGGGAGCTGCTCCCATGAGCCACAGCTTGTGATCTATGGACTGGAAAGTCAGCTGTGCTCGCACCTTTTGCTCCAATGGAGCTAGGTGGGTGGTCTGTTCTTTGGCCATGAACTTTGCCCCCATCCAGTTCAAGAGCAACTCTGTGTAGCTCTGTGCATAGCTCTTGCTCTTCTGCAACTTATTCTTCCTCTCCAGTGACTTTGCTGCTTCAATCTCCCACAACTTCTTCTGAAGCTGATCTGCGCTTTCTTCAGCTTTCTGCAAGCATCTTTCAGACCTTGCAACTAGGAGAGAGTAGAACTCTTCCCTGACCTCTCTCTTGCTGATGTTGTGGCCATTGCTCCTCTCTTCAGCTAGCCACATTCGCAGCTTCTCAATCTCCTCTCCAAAGTCATTCTTTCTTCCTCCTCCCTGAGCTCTAATACCTTTCCTGGTCCTCACACTCTTTGCTTTGCAACCTATCTTGGCACCTCCTTGAGCTCCAAGTCCCAACTTCTTTGTGAGCATCTGCCACTCTTCCTTTCTTGCATGCATATCTTTGAGCCTCCTTTTGTCTAGATTGTACTTCTGAACTGCCATCTTGTATAACTCCTCATCATCAGCACAGCTCGCCTTCATCTCCTCTAGGGAGATTGCAATCTCCAGCTTCTGCTGCGCAGTCAGCTCCCTTTTTCTACTTGGCTCTGCAAGTGCTCTCCTGTTGCTTTTCTTGCCTCCTGAGACACCTCTGTGTGCTTGCACAACTGTTTGTTCTTCAAATCTTGGTCTTCCTCCAAGCTTTCTTCTTTTCTTGATCCAATCTAAGAAACCTTCATCTGTTTCTGTGTGTATCTCTGCAAGCTTTAGCTCATATTCTGCCTGCACCTCCTCTGCTGCTAGCTGGGCTTTGCTTTTTTGTTGCCTTTTTGACCCCCAAGCTAGCTGCATGACTGGCTTGTGATCTGTGCTTTCACCTCCCCCCCAAAACCTCTTCAAGCTGAACTGCTTCTTGCCACTGCTGCCAGTGCTGGCTGGGCTCTGTTCAGCAACTGTGGTTGGGCTTGGGCTCGCAGACTGTGGGCCACTGTTGATCTTTCTGTAAGCTGTTGTCTTTCCTTCTGGTGTCTTGAAGCTGTCACTGGTGGACCTGCGGGTCTTGACCTCAGTGGTCCTGCTTTGGCTTACTATCTTCTGAGCTTGCTCTTGGGCCTGTCTCAACATCTCATCTGCTTGTGCCTTTGCTTTTGCTAAGATCTCCATGGCCTGTCGCTTTGCTGCTTCCTGTCAAAAGCAAGCTTCAAACTTGACAAGCTACCACCTAATCATGCTGTGTGCAACATGTCCTATCCCAAGACTTTATTCCAGGGGCCCCTATAATAAAGTCTTGATGAACGGTGCCCCCCCTGAAAAATGCAACTCCCTAATTGCAGTTACCTCTTGGCTAACTACCTAGCCAACTTCACACACAATCCCAGGTGATGCTGGTGAAGCTTCATGCTTTCTTCCCAAATCCAAACTGCAGACCAACCTTTTCTCAAGTTTTATTACATGTCCTTTTTTAAAAAACTGCCATCCATCAAACCCACAAAGGGGGTAGTACTTTTTGAAGCCCCCAAATTTGAAGCCCAAGACTTTATTCCAGG